TGCATGTACATATTTATGTTAGATATGTATGTGTATACCGCTACTTTAAGCATGTCAGGCCATCAGAAAACAAACAAGTATGTTTCTTTACAATGAAATCGAACAAATAATTAAAAATAAAATAAAAAAATCAAAAAAAAAAACAAAAGTAATCACCAAATTTAATCAACTACTTCTTTGAGTATTATTGATTATTTTTTTTATGACAAATAATCATGATTGTTTTTTGATTTGATTGATTACTAATTCCTCGGTTAAAAACACTAAATGATTTATTCATTACGATTACCGAATCTATGTAATCGTTTTGATTAGTAATCGTAATCCAAAGTTAACAGGTCTGTTTTTAACCGAATATATTTTTAATTTTATTTATTAAGAATCAACGGTATATCCTAGCTACTTCAAACTGGCACTTTAATGTTCTAAAATTGAATGGGCTACAAAAATACGTACTCAAAATCTTTTTTAAATATCTAATTAAAAACTTCGATATTTTTACGAAGTTTGAAACTTAGATTTATACGGCTTTTATAAAGGAATAATCCATATTTTTATAAAAAAAAATTCAAATTAAATAATAATAAAAAAATAGTCAAAACTTTGTGATAAGCACTACACTAACACTTTTTGCTCAAAGTCGAAATCTAAATTCCGTCCAAGCTCCGTTAAACTAATATTATTCGCTTCAAGTTCCACTACCATTGCTTCGCCAAAGAAAGATCTCCGGTTTGTGACCATTGGCAACAAGCGCGCGCAAGTAATCTGAGGATCTGATGAAACTAACAATCTATTAAAAACGTCAACGCCATTCGTTTTCCTACCATAGATCGCTCTAAAGCTTTTCAAGTCCTTGTCCGAACTAAATCCGCTTTTTATTCATTGAGCAACCTTAAAATAATATACAGTTTAAGGCCTGAAGAAATTTTCTTGAGGCAAATTTCCTTAAGGCAGTACGCAGTTCTTAAGAAATTTACTACGCTTTCTACTACGGTTTTCTAAAGTTTTTTGTGAAAAAAGCGCACAAGGCAACCCAGGTTTGCAACAGAAATATATGCCCGTTCCATTATTTCTTGAGGAAAGAGTGAGGCAACAGGCTGTGAGGTATCAAAAATGTCAAAATTCCTTGGACACACACGCGAAATAATGGCAATTTTTTCTTGACCGTTTTCTTGAGAGCTGCATACAGGGCTTTAAGTTCGAAATGAAACAGAAACAAACTTAACCAGAAGTATATGTTTTTGTGTTTAATTAAAATGAAAGTGAAATTTTTAAAACCAATTTATTTAAAAATGCGCAAAGTGCTTTTGGTTTTGAACTCGCATTCATAATAAGGAAAGAACATACTTTATTGCAGTACTGTCGAACTTAAAAGCGCTTTGCGCATTAAAAAAAAAATATTTTGAAAATTACACTTGCTAAAAACTGGAGGTTAGTTTAGTTTTTTTTTAACTTAATATTTTTAAAACACATAATTCCAAAAAAATAAACCAAATTTATCTAAAACATCGCAATATGGATATCAAATGAAAGGTATTATTGAAAACTTTGATCAGAAAATATTTTCTGTCAGGGTTGCCACTCTTCTATGTAATACAAATTTTTATTTTGTTAATTTCAATCAGCATTTATTTTAAGTATACAAAGTACATATACGCTGAAGATATGTACCATTCATTTCAGCGTACTTCGAAATAGGGTTGCCACCTAAATTTTGGAGTAAGAAATTTAATATCGAAATCCAAGTTTTATTTTTTTTCAAAATATTTTTTTAAAGCTATCCACATCTTGAAAACTTTAAAAAGTATATGCACCCCAGGTAAAGCTCGGTCAACCTGGTACTTATTATGTTAACAATAAGGATGCTGGCTATAGAATAATAGTAGGGTAAGCACTGCGACCAATAGGTCTATTGTGCCCATGCTGGCTATGTTTATGGCACTATTATATTCTATGTCCTTTGTGATTAACAAGTGCTGCCTCGCTTCTACGAAAAATTGTTTTTGGGCCAGAGTAATAAATTAATAAAGAAAACACTGGAAATCGGGACTTTATCGTTTATACGACTTTTCAAAAATATTCAGCGGGACAATTTTCTCAAAATCGGTAGTGCGCCGCCAAAACCGTTACGGATGGCCACCGTACGCATAAGGCATATGAACATACACACATACGAACATATATTTTGATGTTTTAAATATATTTGCCCACAACTTAATGTTTATGTTTGTATAATAAATAGTTAGATACTATATAGTTACATACATACTTATGTACGTGTATGCGCGCATTCTCTGTTTTACCGAGTTAATAGCGTCTAATTCAAACTGTCATGTCATGTAACATTTCTGCATCACTTAAATATGTATAAATAACTAGTCAATTAAATCAAATCAACTAGCAAGTTACGGCTACTTATGTACATACATACATATGTATATACAGATATCATTTTTATACGAGTACCAGTATTTGCGTTTACGTGCGTACTAAACTGCTGCAGGAATGCATTTGTTTGCAGCTTCAAAACATTCTCTTGAAGTTAGAATAGCCGCTCTCTTTCATTCTATGTTAGCGAACATGAATTAGAATGTTATCGAAGAGTAATAGAATGGNCGTTACACCAATGGTAATGAGCATTCCATTCGCCAAATATTATACTCCCGCTCATTCGCATTCTCTTGCTGATATCGTTTGCAAACCTTGTACATGTTTTGAGAGTAAAGAGAACGACCGCAAAAGCAAATGCATTCTCGCAGCTGTATAGTGCGTACACAGTGGCGTAGCCAGGGGGAGGAGGGGGAATTTGGGAGGGATAGATCTCCCCCCTTCGTCAGTGAAAGGAAACTTTTTATTTTTGAATTAATAACACAATACTATTTTACCCTTCCGATTTATAATTTTCTTATTTCAGACTGATGGCAAATTATCTTTTAATGAATATATTAAATTATCGGTTGGTAGATTATGTATTTGAATATTTGCGAAATACACTAAGCCATTTTGCTTAGTTTCCTACAGTTTTGGGAAATAATCTATAATCTATACAAAACCAGTACTTTTCGACTGTAAATTGTATCGACTTTTTAATTTGCTGATATGCATGCATGCATACATAGATTCCCTTCAAGACCAATGATTTGATGGTATTCACGGGAAAGTTTATGTAGGTACATTTACATATTTTACACTGTTAACATAAATTTCAAGGCAGAAATTTTAAGATACACTTCTTAACAAACAAATTTTTTTAATATATTAAAGATAAAATTGAAATAGAAAGTTCGAAATTTTTACGAAAGTTTGCCGATTTTTTTTTTAATGTTGTTCAAAGATTAAACTTATTTTCATTTAGTGTTTGTTAAGGAATAAACTATATTTTTATAAACAAATAATTCAAATTAAAATATAATAAAATAAATAGTCAAAACTAGTCAATATGTGAGTGTCGTAAAGTATTGATATTATTTAACCGACTTCAATCCGGACCAAAATTTATATGTGATATCTTCGACTTTAGTAGTATCGATTTTGAGTATTAGATGAAAAAAATATATATTTTAATTTTTCGAGTCTCTATAGAGGAATCTGTACTTTGCCCCCTGTGCGACACGCCTTAACCGTCTCCAATCGGGACCAAAATTTATATGTGATATCGGTGACAGTGATATTACCGATTGAGGGGGTGAGACCGAAAAAAGCCTTCATTTGATTTTTAAAGAACCACCCTAATGTACATATATACCCTGCAAACCAAAGTTCCCGAAATCTTAACGAAATCTTTGGGAGTATCTGATTTCTGTAACGATTTTTTTCCGAATCTTCAAAGAAAATTATATGAAGTGGTTGACACGAACTCGTAAAGAAATTTCTGTACGAAAAATAAAGAAAATTCTGAAAAAAGTCTGCAAGAAATTCTTCACATAGCAGCATTATTTTTATTTCTTTACCGATTTTCTTCCGAAATTTCGTAAAAGAATGTAAGTGTGCGTAATTTATTTCATTTTAGAAAATTCCGCAAAAAATCGGATGGGATCTTTCCGAATTCTTTAAAAATTCTTTACGATTCAGAATACTCTGAAAAAATGGTTTGCAGGGTAGTTTCAACGCAAACACAATACATAAATTGAAATAAATCAATACACCCAAGTTGAACAGCGGCAAAGTATTGGAATTACAACCAAAACAAAAAAACAAAAATTTATTAATATAAGTCAACTTTTGCATTGGAGGTCAGCAACTGCGACAACACTTCACAATGCGTCGACCGGCTCATTTGCTTTTAAATACGAATTACAGCCTATGCTAAAACAATGGACTGACTGCAGAATAAATCAGTGCATGGGTGTATTGGCGGATTGACACACGTACGGATGGATGGCTTATGGTAATTAATTGAATCGCTTGCTTATTCACGCACTTGCCAGAGCGGCGTAAGTTTGGTTGCAGTTTTCGAAAGGTGCGCAGGTAAATATGTCCCTACTCATAGGGCCTCGTTGTATGCATGCGTGTATCGAAGAAGCTACCAATGCCGGCAATCACGACGACAATACCAGCGACTTGTTAACCTGTCTTTAGCAAGCAATGCAGCGGCGCTGGTGTAGGGAGAAGGTGGTGTAGGAGGACGACGACCAATGAATGTCGTACGCATTCTGCATCTAGTATGAGCGTTTTTGTTAATAATGGTAATGCGAGCAGGCGACGGCAATGCACGCCAGCTTAATAAAAGTACTTAAATATGTATGTATATATGTACGTACATATGTATTTTACTGTGTATGTATATGCGCTTGTATACTTACTATATAAATTAATTTGTTTATATTTTTTCTGTAACTATACGTGCGTATGTGGACGTCAACGTCGTCGTCGTTGCCGGCGTTTGAGCTGGTGTTTTGGTTTAGACTACTAGAGTGGCGCTGCTACACGCTGTGACGCTTTTTAATGCTCGTTGCTAATGCATGTACTCGTACACTGTGCTCTATCACCTGGTCTTGAAACAATAAGCTGTCAGTTAGGTTTTGATTTCAGTTATCGGTGCACACAAGTCGCTTATTAACGCAAAATCAACGGCCAAGCTCATCTGCCTAGTATTTGGCAATTCACTATTGCTTGCTTCAATACAGTAGATTTGTAATATTTTACGTGAAATTCAAAATATAACAGCAAACTGGAGCAGACGGTAAATTACAATTACAGAAACGTACGTCAAAATACAAAGTATAACAAAATCTTCAAAAAACAGTTTACTGCATTAAAATGACGGAAGTGAGAAGCACGCTATAAAGACGTTATTAAATATTATCGCTGAACATGTAGTGCTGTACTACACATCTGTATTAAAGTGGTATTTATATATAAGAGTAGTAAAAAATAATAGCAAAGTACGAAAAAAGAACATAAATATTCAACTTTGCATTTTGAAAAAAAAATACTGAAAAATATATACTGGATTAGTTATAACAGCAAAAATAAAAGAAAACAAAACCAAAGGCGAATTAGCTAAACCGATTGTATGATACACCTATTTTAAAGTGTCTGCGCAGTTTTATCATTTAACTACATTAGCACATAAATGCGTATTTACATACATACTTATATGCATACTGAAATACATATTTCGAGCACTAACCGCCAAAATAACGTAAGCGGCATTTTTTCAAAATTTCCTTTTTGGTGCAGCCTAATGCATCTATGTAGATGCATTTCTGCATCAAAAACAAAATTTTGAAATAAATGTCGCTTACGCTATTTTGGCGGTTAGGGCTCGATTATTGCTATCTGCACACTTGTCATCCAATCATGATTGCGTTATCGTCTCGCCCTGATCGGTTATTTGTTAATCGTTAAGCACGCATTGTTTGTTTACATTTTATGGTGAAAAATTTGTGAAAAAGTTAATATTTGCATTAAAATTACATAAAAATTAGTATTTCTTGCATAAAATCTGTGGAAATTATTAAAAAGTGGATATTTGCAATCAAATTTAATAAATGTGAGAGTTTTATATATGAATGTGAGAGTTTCAAATATGACGAAATTTCAAAAAGTCTCCCCGTGCGTGCACAAAACATATTTCAGAAAAAATAAAATAAGAGAGATTAATGTAAAATTATGTCTAGAATTGTTGCAGCACAGTTCATCATTTTAAAATTGCAGGTTTTTGTAAAAATTTCGCGAAAATATCAACCGAAAAACAGAAAATACCTGCTCTAAGCGAATTTTTAGACGCCAAATTAATTGAAATATCACGACCGAGTGTGCGAAAGTGTAGTCGTCATGTAATCGTTGCATCATGATTGTGACGGTGAAGCAACAGTGATTCGACGACCAATGTGCAGAAAGCCTTACCGTGCGCTTGCTGGAATAGTGTCATGTTTAAACAAAAATATGTTAAATACCCGTCAGTAATGCTGTTCTGTAACCAGTTAACATCTTTTTCTGTATCGTTTGGCACTTTCAGTCCGATAATTGTGGGTGGGTTAGCGATGAAAAAAAAGTGTGTTGTTCGATTTGGAACAAATTGTATATTTTTAACAGACTTCACAAAAAAAAGAAAGGTTATTTTTTTGCGTGTGTGTGTTACTGCATTAATTTGGACCACGTTAACCGATTTCTGTAATTCTTTTTTAAATGAAAGATGTTATCTCACAGGTAGTCCCATATTAATTTGGTTTAAATCCGATCATGGGATAGTGACTAAATTAACGATAATCTTAAATTTTTATATGAGAATTGAAGTCGGTTTTGTTTTTTTCTTAAAAATTATTTATTTAATTTTTTTATGAATTAATATTCATAAATAAACTAAATAACTGCAATCAAACAAAACAATAACCATTAATACAAATTCGTAAATATTAGGGATTCCGCTATACTGTAGGGAGTTTCTGTAAGCCATTAGCAACAATATTCGTATCGCTAACCGGTTACAGAATCTCCTCCCTGGAGGTGGTTGGTGGGTGGTAGTGCCGAGTGGCCACTCAGGAGCGAATTACCGTGAGGTAGACGTATTCAGTTGAACTTCTATTTACGAGTGTTTGGCTAATAATATGAAAACTAGGACAATTTTCTATTTAATCCGTAACCCAATATCTAAGAAATGTGCTACACTATATGGCCTTCATTTGCCTTCCAGAAGCGGCGAAGTCAGTTTGGCCACTCATCGATTGCAGTACGCATCCAATAAATCGGGAAATTTTCCATTGCTCTGACAAAGGTGCGCTTCAAAGAATCAAAATATGGATGAGGAGTAGTGTAAGCCATGGCCTCGAGGACGGACCACAATTTATAAATTATCCAATAGACTGAGATCCGGTCTCCCAGATGGCCATTCAACTGTGGAAAAGAAGTTCGGAGGTTTGTGTCGATTTTGCCTTATGAGCTGAAGCGGAGCCTTGTTGAAGCCATCGCAGAAGCTGGGCGGTGGACACGATGAAACGGTTTTCGACGAATTACATTGGACCAGGGGCGGTTCCAGTGGGGTGGTTTTGGGGGTTAAACTACGTGTCAGTCAGTGGCGGACCCACGGGGGGGGCGCATATGTATGTATAAAATGGTGTCTATGTATTAAAACACTCCCCGTGGGTCCGCCACTGACTGACACGTAGTTCAACCCCCAAAACTCCCCCGCTGGATCCGCCACTGCATTGGACACATTAGCGCACACAAGGGGTGGGTTTTGGAGTTCAAATATTGATATCTTCTTTATTACTTCCGCCAAATAATTTTGGTAGGGTTAATATCAGCACAAAAAGTTCTATCGAGCCACATTTAGGGTTTTGGCATAGATAGATTATTGATATTCCACACTTATGTGCATGGAACGACCTCGGACTATTTCTAATTAAATCCTGCAGTACGGGAACAGGCTTAATGACCATAAAAGAGTAAAAATTTCACGGAATTTATTTATTTATTTTTATTAAAATTCTTTTTTTTTTAATTTTTTATTACTTTTGAAAGTTGAGCGAATCTTGTGTTTATATAACGTTTTATTAAAAAAGTAATTTTTTAGCTAAAAATACAACCGATCCAATGATCGAATTTTTAGCCAAATTACGGGACGACCCTTGAACTACCATCTTCCCGATAAAAAAAAAAAAGAATTATTTAAATCGGTTCACGTGGTTCAAAGTTATGCGGTAGCATACATAAAAAAGAAAAAAAAATTTCAAAGAATTGATAACCTCCAACTTTATTTGAAGTCGATTAAAAATGTTTGAATCCTTTGTTAATTTTATGTAAATAAAGTGCAATTTATGAAACTTTATCCGAAACGAATTTTCTGTATATTTTGATGAACTTTAGCAGTATACATTTTTCAAATTTTTACTGAAAATATACCGAATTATGACTGCGATAAAAAATAAATTGTACGTTTTTTGAGCAAAACTTTTTCGTCGCAAAATAGAAACTTTCAAATATCATGGTAAATAGTACACGTAGTATTGGAAAATGCATTAGGCGTTGAGAATAATATGTGCTACTCATTGAAAATAAACTGTAACAATTTGAAATCTGTCACTCGTAATTATTAAAAATGTAATATTTAAAGTTCTTTTAATTAAAGATTAAAATAAGACCTTTTACAGCTGCGTGCCTTTGAAAATATTGAAAATATAACAAATATTGCCTGAATAGGTCTTTGCGTGAATGGCTTCAAAATTTCCGTTTTTTTTGATGGCACACAGACAGACTAAAACATAACAGGTTGGCATTAAGCGTGATCGTTAGATAACATTCTTCACAAAATTCGTGGAAAATGCCAAATACATAAATAATTTTTGTCTAAAACACCGCCATGAATATATATGTGTGTATGTAAGGATTTTCAGATCTTTAGGCAGTGCGGTTAACAAATTTTTACATATTTACTCCAAAATTAGATTTTTTCTTTACAATTTTTGAAAGCTGGGCATGGCCCGGCCTTTTATGTCAAATGTTTGTATCTCGAAAACCACTTCACCAATCTGTACCAAATGATATACAGATTGCGCCTGACCTTCTTAAATATTGTCTCCCTCTAGAAGTATCGCTAACATTGAATTTAAAAAAATTATCGTTTTTTACTTATAACTGTTTAAGCATTTGAGAAAAATTAATCACACAAGAATTTAATGTTTCCTCAATAGACTTCAAACAATTTGATTTATAATTTATTTTTGTGCATTCAATTTAAAAATTTACGGTTTTTTTAGCTTTTAACCGCACGGTTCCGGAGATATGCCCATATGTATGTATTGGCCTTTTTATGGAATTTTCATATCGCTAGCTTAGAGTGAAAAGTTGCTAAGTCCGCTTTTTATGAAAACTCCTATTTTGATACAGGAGGCTAGAGAAATTAATAATGCATCGTTTTGAAAAGAATAAAGATCCTTGTTTTATGACATCTTGTTTATATTCAATGAAAGAAAAACCCATCCCAGATCAAAAAAAAAAAAAGCCTCCGAAATTTTGATAAATCCAAAATAGTACAAAATATTTTAATAAAGATCGAATGCGAGATACTTGAAGAAAATGACTTAAAGAGGTCTTTTTCCTTTCCTGCACTTTTCACTTTAAGGTAGCGATATGTGATACTGAAAAGCCATAAAAGATTCAGGATGATGATCGTCTGGTAAAAAGATCTTTCGATGGGTGGACAGCGAAAACAAAGCTGCCCACGAACATAATGTAAGGACCAAGCGCAGAAATACCTGTCTGCAGTTGGAATGAACAACTGATGTAAGTTTGTAAAAGAGTGAGGAAATTAGTGCAGTTTTTAGTCCCAAACTGACAAATGGTTATGGCGCCAAATAAGAAGAAGGTCAATGGACGAATACAGCAGTGTAATTTTACACCCAACACTTAAAATTTGTTTGCGCGCCATGTAAGAAATTTTAATTAAAACTTGACTTTAATATTTATAAGTCATGAAATGTTTTATGAATTGGAAATATACCGATATCGTATGATACTGTGTAGTATTCAAAAATACAGTGCACTACGGAAACAAGTAAACAAATACATACTTACATATTCACGTGTGTGGTGTCAAATCGCAAGCAGTATCCCAGCCAGCAAAATCATCGTAAATAAGCTCGTAATTGGATATTTTCTCGAAGAAAAACCGGATTAAAAATCGTTTATGATAGCCGTTTACGACTCTTTTTCGAGCACTTTTTCGCTTTAAATTGTGCATCGCCTACGAACAGTCGTAAA